TATAACTCCAAAATCGGAGGTTTGAATAAAGTTTGAAAACTTCGATTTCGGAGGTTTCGCGTATAATTTCACTCAGAAACTCCAAAATCAGAGGTTTGAATAAAAGTTTGAAAACTCCGATTTCGGCGTATAGTACGCAGAACCTCCGAAATCGGAGGTTTTATTAAAAGTTTGAAAACTCCGATTTGGGAGGTTTGGCGTATAAATACTCAGAAACTCCAAAATCGGAGGTTTAATTGAAAGCTTGAAAACTCCGATTTTGGAGGAGATTTTTTTCGCTACGGTATAGTACGCAGAACCTCCAAAATCGGAGGTGTGAATTAGAGTTTGAAAACTCAGATATTGGAGGTTTTGCGTATAGTACGCACAAACTCCAAAATCGGAGGTTTGAATAAAGTTTGAAAACTTTGATTTCGGCGGTTTCGCGTATAGTACGCAGAATTGAAACTCCAAAATCGGAGGTTTGAATAAAAGTTTGAAAACTCCGATATTGGAGGTTTTGCGTATAGTACGCACAAACTCCAAAATCGGAGGTGTGAATTAGAGTTTGAAAACTCAGATATTGGAGGTTTTGCGTATAGTACGCACAAACTCCAAAATCGGAGGTTTGAATAAAGTTTGAAAACTTTGATTTCGGCGGTTTCGCGTATAGTACGCAGAATTGAAACTCCAAAATCGGAGGTTTGAATAAAAGTTTGAAAACTCCGATATTGGAGGTTTTGCGTATAGTACGCACAAACTCCAAAATCGGAGGTTTGAATAAAGTTTGAAAACTCCGATTTCGGCGGTTTCACGTATAGTACGCAGAAACTCCAAAATCGGAGGTTTGAATAAAAGTTTGAAAACTCCGATTTCGGAGGTTTCGCGTATAGTACGCAGAACCTCCGAAATCGGAGAATTTATTTAAAGGTTTGAAAACTCCGATTTAGGAGGTTTGGCGTATAAATAAGTAGGCAGAAACTCCAAAATTGGAGGTTTAATTGAAAGCTTGAAAACTCCGATTTTGGAGTTTTCGTTTACGGTATAGTACGCAGAACCTCCAAAATCGGAGGTTTGAATAAAAGTTTGAAAACTCCAATATTGGAGGTTTTGCGTATAGTACGCACAAACTCCAAAATCGGAGGTTTGAATAAAGTTTGAAAACTCCGATTTCGGCGGTTTCGCGTTTAGTACGCAGAAACTCCAACATCGGAGGTTTAAATAAAAGTTTGAAAACTCCGATTTTTGAGGTTTGGCGTATAAGTACGCAGAAACTCCGAAATCGGAAGGTTTATTAAAAGTTTTGCTCTCTCTATAGAGAACTTGTTTAATCAAAAGTACGCAGAAACTCCGAAATCGGAGGTTTGAATAAATGTTAAAAACTCCGATTTTGGAGGTTTCGCGTATAGTACGCAAAATCTCCGAAATCGCAGTTTTGGCGGCGGGCGCAGACACTCCGATTTTGGAGTAACTACATACCTCGTCAGAGACGGCATAGTGCCTTTTCGTAAAAAGAAAAACGTGATTTTAAAAAGCAATAAAGAAGGTAGATAGGGGTTTTGACAAGATTAGCTTGTACCTCTTTGTGAACGACCGTAAGTGCAGCCGGCATAAATTTTCCTTCATAACTAATGCACGCACCTTCATCTCTACAATGCAATAATAATTAAGAGAAACTGATCATGGCTTGCTGTTTTGAATTTAGAAGAACAATGCCCCTTTGTGGAGTTCAATAGGGTAATGTCTTCGCCAGGCCGTCTAATGTTACAATGTTACACCCCAGAAACTACAGTATAGGCAATCTAACAAACACTGGCCATCCAACAGTAGCTACTATAACCACCCGGTAGCGCCATCACTACGCCAGTCGAACTAAATTGGAAACAAAATACGGCGAAGGATGAAAGCTGATTGTTGCAATTTTATACTTTGCGCGACTTCCCCTTTTCTGGTAACATGACAATTACTGCATTTGCTCGACATTCTTTTTCATGTTTCCATTATGTTTAAACAATGATGATTTTAGTACGTTGGCCTCAAATACGACAGGAGGTCCATAGCTTGTCTCACGGGGTAACTCTTCCGCCCGCCCCCCAATCCCCACACCGGCGCTACCGCCACTTGTCTGGTGTGGTCCTTCCTCAGTTTAAATTCAAGTCAATCTTTTTTGAGTTCAATGCAACACAAAATTGGTTTGCTGGAAATGAAGTATAAACTCAGGGGCGGATTTGGGAGGGGCCGGCCCGGCCCCGGCCCCCCCTTTTGGGAAGTAAAAAAAGAAAAAAAAAAAAGAAAAACGAGAGAAAGAAAAAAATGATAGCCCAGAATGCCTCAAATGTTATGT